AAACATACTTTATTGATTTTTTACAGAGAGGAAGAGAGAGGGATAGAGAGTTAGAAACATCGATGAGAGAGAAACATCCATCAGCTGCCTCCTGCACACCTCCTACTGGGGATGTACCTGCAACCAAGGTACATGCCTTTGACTGGAATTGAACCTGGGACCTTTCAGTCCGCAGGCCAGTGCTCTATCCACGGAGCAAACCAGTTAGGGCTATATGTCACAATTTTTAAACCATTCTGCTGGACATTTTGCTTCTAGTTTTGGCTGTTTAGAAATTGATGTTTCAGTGAACATTCTTGTTTGTGATTTTTGGTGAACATGTGGCTGCATGCATTAGACATGGAATGGAATTGCTGGATCATATAGAGGGTACACTGTTGTTTAACTTTAGTAGATAAGACCAAACAGTTTTCCCAAATGGTTGTATCAATTTATAGCCCCACTATCAGTGTAAAAGAGTTACTGTTATTTTATTTATTAAAAATATTTTTATTGATTTCAGAGAGGAAGAGAGAGGTAGAAACACCAATGAGGAGAGAGAATCATTGATTGGCCACCTCCTGCATTCCCCTCATGGGATCGAGCCTGAAACCTGGTTATATGCTGTGACTGGGCATTGATCTGTGACCTCCTGGTTCATAGGTTGACACTCAAACACAGCTGGGCTGTTACTTTCTTTAAACCTTGCTAATGTCAATATCTTTAATGTTAGCCATTCTTTTAAATAGTAGTATGTCATTGTCTATTTATTTTTTAAGAATAATTGATTGATTTTTAGAGGGAGAGGAAGGGAGAGAGAGAAATATCAATGTGAAAACTCAATATCAATCTGCTGCCTCCAGCATGTCCCCCACCCAGGAGCTATAACGCAGGTGTGTGTCCTGACCAGGAAACAACCAGCACCCTTTCAGTGTACAGGACGATGCCCACCCAACTGAGCCACACTGGCTAGGGCATGCCATTGTTTTTTCATGCCATTGTTTTTTGATTTGCATTTCCCTGATGTCTAATGATACTGAGTAGTTTTTTCCAGGAATATTTTTAGCCATTTGGCTATATTCTTTTTTTTCTTTTAATATATTGATTTTTTACAGAGAGGAAAGGAGAGGGATAGAGAGTTAGAAACATCGATGAGAGAGAAACATCGATCAGCTGCCTGCACACCCCCTCCTGGGGATGTGCCCACAACCAAGGTACATGCCCTTGACCGGAATCAAATCCACGACCCTTGAGTCCTCAGGCCGAGGCTCTATCTATCCACTGAGCCAAACTGGTTAGGGTGGCTATATTCTTTTTTATGAGATTTTGTTGAGATCTCATGCCAGTTTTTCTATTGGGTCATTGTTTTTTTCTAACTCATTAGTAGAGATTCTTTTTTTTTAAAATATATTTTTATTGATGTCAGAGAGGAAGGGAGAGGGCAAGAGAGATAGAAACATCAATGATGAGAGAGAATCACCGATTGGCTGCCTCCTGCATGCCCCACTGGGGATCAAGCCCACAACCTGGGCATATGCCCAGACCAGGAATCGAACCGGCGACCTCTTGGTTCCTGGGTCGACGCTCAACTGCTGAGCTACACCCGGCCGGGCAGTAGAGATTCTTAGTATAATCAGGATATGAACCTTTTTTTTTTTTCCTGTATACATATATATTGCAGGTATATTTTCCCATCCTCTGTGGCTTGTTTTTTCATGTTCTTAATGGTTCTTTTGATGAGTACAAGTTCTTATTTTAATGAAGTCAAATGTATGAATGTTTTTCTTTATGGTTAATATTTTTTTGTGTTATTTAAAAATTATTTACCCACTTTGAGTTTAAGAATATATTCTTCCAGAAAAAAGCAACCATGTAGGTTGCTTGGTGTAAAATAAAGACAAAGATTTAAAATATATATATATATATATTTTTTTTTCCTTCTAGCTGTAGCTGGTTTGGCTCAGTGGATAGAGCGTCAGCCTGAAGACCAAAGGGTCCCAGGTTCGATTCCAGTCAAGGGCACATGCCGGGGATTGTGGGCTTGATACCCCCTAGGGAGTGTGCAGCAGGCAGCCATTCAATGATTCTCTCTCATCATTGATGTTTCTATCTCTCTCTCCCTCTCCCTTCCTCTCTGAAATCAATAAAAATATATATTAAAAAAAGAATAGTCCTGGCAGGTTTGGCTCAGTGGATAGAGCTTCAGCCAGTGGACCGAAGGGTCCCAGGTTCGATTCGGTCAAGGGCACATGCCTAGGTTGAGGGCTCAGTCCCAGTAGGGGGCATGCAGGAGGCAGCCGACCAATGATTCTCTCTCATCATTGATGTTTCTATCTCTCTCTTCCTCTTCCTTCCTCTCTGAAATCAATAAAAAAATTAAAAAAGAATATATTCTTCTATATTACCTTCTAATAGGTTTATTGTTTTGCTGTTTTACCTTTAGATTTACAATTTATTTGGAATTGATCTGTGTGTATAGTGTTGAGATAGGTGTCAGTTTTCATTCCACAAATATTTAAATGTCCCAGCACCACTTAGTGAAAAGGTTATCCATTCCTCACAGATTGGCAGTGCCACTTTTATCCTGAATACAGTAAAGAAAGTAGAAAAAAGGAAGTGAAAAAGATATGAGCATAAATTAATGATATAACAAATGTAATAGAGGGATTCAACAAAACCTTGACAAAGCTAATAAAATTGGTAAACCTCTAATAAGATTCATACATTAAGAAAGATAAATCATAAATTACCAATATCAGGAACAAAGAGGAAGACATCACTATGGAACCTAGACACATTAAAAAGTTCCTAAGAGGATGTTATAAACAAGCTTATGCCAAAAAGTTTGAAAATTTATGTGCAATAGACAAATTTCTAGAAATAAACATCTTATCAAAATTAATACAAGAAGTAGAAAATTTGACTAGTCCTATAACACAAAATAAATTGAATATATAATTAAAAACCTCAAAAAGAAAACGAGGTCCAGATGGCTTCATTAGCCAATTTGATCAAACATTTAAAGAAGAAATAACAACAATCTCACATACACTTTTTTGGAAAATAGAAAAAATAAGACACATTCTCCAACTAACTTTGTAAGGCCAGCACAACCTTGATACAAAATCTATTGAAGGCAATACAAGAAAGGACATACGCCTAACCGGTTTGGCTCAGTGGATAGAGCGATGGCCTGTGGACTGAAAGGTCCCAGGTTTGATTCCGGTCAATGGATATGTTCACATGTACCTTGGTTGAGGGCACATCCCCAGTACAGGGTGTGCAGGAGGCAGCTGATCAATGTTTCTCTCTCATTGATGTTTCTAACTTTCTGTCCCTCTCCCTTCCTCTCTGTAAAAAATCAATAAAAAATATATTAAAACAACAACAACAACAAAAACACAAGAAAGGACATATATAAACATATATGAAGAAACCTAAACAAACTACTAGCAAACTAAATTCAGCAATATATAAAAATGATAGTACATCATAACAGCATTGGGTGTATTCTAGAAATGCAAAATTGGTTTAACATTGGAAAATTAATCTGTTATTTACCACATTAACACAATAAAGGAGAAAAGTTATATAATCATCAATAGATATAAAAATTGATAAAATTAAGCACTGACCCATGATTATGAATAAAGAAATAACCCTTATCAAACTAAGAATAAAAAGATATTGCCTGAATCCGATAGTCTTTGCCAAAATGATGGGTGGGGAAAGATATCATTTTTCAATTTGCTTTACCCTGATACCTTTTTTTTTTTTATAAATATTTTATTGATTTTTTACAGAGAGGAAGGGAGAGGGACAGAGAGTTAGAAACATCGACCAGCTGCCTCCTGCCCACCCCCCACTGGGTATGTGCCCGCAACCAAGATACATGCCCCTGACCAGAATTGAACCTGGGACCCCTCAGTCCGCAGGCCGACGCCCTATCCACTGAGCCAAACCAGTCAGGGCGCTGATACCTTCTAAAGTTGAGATTCTTTTCATGTTTATTAGTCATTTAGGTCCCCTCTTCTATGAATTACTTGATCATATCCTTTGACTAATTTTTTATTGAGTTGAGTGTATTTTTAAAATAAATGTTAGTGCCGAACTGGTTTGGCTCAGTGGATGGAGCGTCGGCCTGTGGACTCAAGGGTCCCCGGTTCGATTCCGGTCAAGGGCATGTACCTTAGTTGCGGGCACATCCCCACTTCGGGGCGTGCAGGAGGCAGCTGGTCGATGTTTCTCTCTCATCGATGTTTCTAACTCTCTATCCCTCTCCCTTCTCTGTAAGAAAATCAATAAAACATATTAAAAAAAAAATGTTAGGCATACTTATAAATCCTGAATGCTAATCCTTTTGGCATGCAAATGTTTTTTCTCCAGTTTATGGCTTATTTTTAATTATTTTTAAAGTTTTAAATTTGTTTATTCATTTATTATGAATGGATATGTTCACATAAATAAAAAATCCAGAAAGTACAAAAGAACATACAGTGAAAGTTTCTCTCCCACTCCTGTTCTTTCATGCAGTTCCTCTCTACAGAGGCATTGTGACTTCATTCTTTAAGAACTTTGTTTATACTGTCATTTGTTTATAGAAATTTAATGTACTTAAATGTATCAATCTTTTCTTTGTGGATTGTGCTCCTTTTACCTTGTTTAAGAAACATTTCCTCTGCCTCATTAATTTATTCTTCTATTCTGTTTTCTAAAATTTCTATATTTAGATCTTTATTCTGTCTGGAATTTATTTTTTGTATGTATGTTGTGAGGTAGGGGTCACCTTTCCTTCCATATAATACAACTACTGGTCCTTACACTTTTACATTATGTGGTTGTTTCATCTACTACAACTTTCTGTGTGATGGGAGACTATTGTTGAATTTCATCTATATGTTGGCAAATATAATGAACTAGTCCAGTTTTTAATTTCTGTTTTGTCCCTTCTTGCAGATGAGTGTGTAGAGTCTTAATAAGTACTGCCTTTCAGGCCCCATAATGTGCCCTTGTGTCTTGTAGCATGCCTGGAATTTGTGTAGGCTGTAATGAGGCAGGGAAAGGAGGGTTCCTTTGTCACAACAAACAAGGAGAAAGCTTTTCGCAGTCTCTTCGATTTACCAATGCCTCATCCGAAGCTTTCAGCTCTTATGTAAGAAATTTATTTTTTTTTGAGCAAACTTAGAGTTTGTATTAAAATAAGATACTGCAGAGTAGGGCATTGTTAATTGCTTAAATATAGTATTTTTTCTTTAGTCCTAGAAATCTCTTAAATTCTTCCATGCTTCTTGATATTCTCAGCTTTATATTGTGGGGTCATGTATTCTGTGGAAATGAATTAGGTACATTACTACTTAGAGGAGTCATTTTTCCTGGAAGAGTGTGAAGTTTTGTGGAAGACTTAAATTGTGATTGTTTTTATTGTGGGAATGTTTGTATGAGTCAGGTGAATTTTGACTTTGCTTGACAGATGTGATTACTTGTCCTTTCTGGCTTGTGTTCTATGTACTCATCTGTTATATAACAGATGACTGTTTATATAATAAGGATTAGCACAAGCCATCTTCTATAATAATAAAAGCGTAATATGCTAATTAGACCGGATGAAGCCGGGGCTGTGAGGGCAGCCTGGGTCCCAGGTACCTGCCGGCTGGAGGAGGGAAGCCCGGGTCCCGGGTGCCAGAGGGAAGCCGGTGCTGGCAGCCGGGGGAAGAAGGCCTACTCTTGCACGAATTTCGTGCATTGGGTCTCTAGAAATAATTTTTAATGGGTACAAACAAGTGGTGATGGCTCTGCTACAAGAGATTGAATAATATAGTTTTTATATGTAGCATATTAAAAGCAAGATGTACAGTGGTTAGGTATTAGGAAACACAGAATAGGGAAGGAATTATTTCTGAGTCAAAGGAGCTTTGCCAGGAATATAACCCAAGTTAAGTAGGAGTAGAAAACCAGCTAAGATCAAGAGCCAACAGAACATTAAAAAAAAAAATTTGATTCTAGAGAGAAGAAGGGAGAGAGAGAGGTAAAAAGAGAGAGAGAGAAATAGATAGTGATGTAAGGATTGGTTGACTCCTGCACGTGCCCTGACCAGGTATCAAATCTGCCGCCTGGGTATGTGTCCTGACTGGGAATAGAACCCACCACCTTTTGGTGTACAGGATGGCTCTTCAGCCAACTTAGCCACACTGACCAGGACTTGCTGAGTATTACTCAGTGATAGAAGAGTGAAATTAGAAGCAAAATACTATTGACTTTTTCAAGTACCTTAGAAGAATCTGTCTGAGGAAAGACTGGATTTAGATCATGAGCCAGAGGCATCCAGAATTAAAGGATTTTCAAATAAAACCTATTTCTGGACCTGGACAGGCTGAATTAACATCTATATTTTTACATACCTGTGCCTTACATTCTAGTGAAGCCTTTTTGGTTATGAGGAACAGAATTCAAGAGTGTTTGGCTCAATTTAAAGGAGTTGACTATAAGGAAATACCTACCTGTGTAGGGACCCAGGAACCAAAGAACCGTATAGGTAATTGTCTTCAAAGTGTCTATGACACTATTTAGATTTAGTTTTAAGTCTTCAATAGTATCATCATAGTTCCTGTGACAGTAAACATGATTAACCTGAATGTAGCGGTTGGCAGCAATTGGTCACTGCATGGTAAATACCGTCTAGTAGTGATTGTGTTCCCGAGAAGGACTTAACTTGATGATTACCCATTGCTCTGTTAGGGGGAACAGCTGCAGGCCTGATGTTTTACAAGTATTTAACAGTAATCATTCAGGGTTTAACTGTTTTAATAAGGAAATGTAGTCTATGTGACTAGCAATTATAATATGTTATTAGATTTGGGAGACTGTAAGGATCTGTATCTTCCTATGGTATATGCCTGAAATTAAGAGGCAAATTCAAGTCACATAATAGAGGCTATCTGGTTTCTTTTCTTCCTTTTTAAAAATTATTATTATTTTAAATATATTTTTATTGATTTCAGAGAGAGGAAGGGAGAGAGAGATAGAAACATCAATGACGAGAGAGAGTCATCGATCTGGGTGCCTCCTGCACACCCTTACTCATGTGCCCTAACCAGGAATCGAACCATGATCTCCTGGTTCCTGGGTTGACGCTCAACCACTGAGCCACACGTCTTTTCTTTAAATTCCTAAGTATCTAGGTGGGTATGACTTAAACAGCAGCAAGTTCAAATTGTCTTCTTTTGTGCAGCGACCAGATTAAGGATAAGGTTTTCAAAAGACCAATGTGTAGATTAATCCACAGAAAGAGTGAATAACTGTGTGGCTGAGAGGGCATGAGAAATACATGAAAATGATCTAGGCCAGGGGTGGGCAAACTTTTTGACTCGAGGGCCACAATGGGTTCTTAAACTGGACCAGAGGGCCGGAACAAAAGCATGGATGGAGTGTTTGTGTGAACTAATATAAATTCAAAGTAAACATCATTACATAAAAGGGTATGGTCTTTTTTTTTTTTTTTAGTTTTATTCATTTCAAACGGACCGGATCCGGCCCGCGGACCGTAGATTGCCCACGGCTGATCTAGGCCCACCCCAAGATTCTTCTGTTTCATGTTTTTCAGTGATTCCATCTGCAATTTTGTTATCTGCAATAACTCTTCCCTTCGAGGTCAGCCCATTATCTTCAATCCTGACTTTTTTGTGGAAAAACTCCGTCATGAGAAACCTGAGGTGTTCACTGAGTTGGTGGTCAGCAATATCACAAGGCTCATTGATTTACCTGGAACTGAATTGGCTCAGCTGATGGGAGAAGTGGAACTTAAGTTGCCTGGTGTGGCTGGCCCAGCGACAGGATTCTTCCGGTCTCTAATGTCTCTCAAGCGAAAGGGTAGGAGATGTGTTCGGGAAGGGTGTACGCATCTTAGTTGCTTTTTGGGTTTCATTCTTGTCATCTGTATGTTCATTGAGGAGTTGCTAATACCATAAAGCAATTTTGGTTGTTATTTTTCTTTCATTTTCATAAGAAGTAAAACAACCAAAATTATTTTAAAAGTCTAGATAAATTAAAGCCAAATATATGTCAGTCCCTGAGAGGTCACAATTAGTTTAGGTATTTATCAGGGACACCTTGATTTTCATTCCCTATTAACACTGTACTAAAATAATGTTTAAAATAAAACAAAGTTCATAGCTAGAGAGTACAGTAAAGACAGTTTGAGCATTTTTTTTTATTGCAGTTGTTAGTTCCCAGATGTTTTAACAGCTGGAAGTGCACCTGAAAGTGCACCAGGAAATGCAATCAAAACAACTCTCAATCAACTCTGCAAGTTTAACATTAGATTGTAGGTTTCTTGAATGGAATGCTTCAACGGAATGCTTTGAAAAAGCAAATAAAAATATCTATGACTCACCCCAAAACAGCCTTCCCAGAAAATAAATTACACTGCTGCCAACTGGGAACCAAACTTTGACGCTCAATCACTGAGTAACACCAGCTGGGCTACAGTGCTACTTTTGATAAGATATTAAAGTGGTACTATCTTATTTTATTAAATATAAGGAAATCATTAAGGTAGCAAAAAGTTTAAACATTATAATCTGACCCTGTATCTACTCTAGTGGATAGTCTGTCATGCTTTGAAAATTATGGCTCTAAGTTCTATTATTTGTTTGTTTTTAAATTAAATATCAACATTTTAGGTATTGTTACTTTGTCTTCAAGAAACCTACAATCTAATGTTAAACTGTCAGAGTTGATTGAAAGTTGTTTTGATTGCATTTCCTGGTGCATTTTCAGGTGCACTTCCAGCTCTTAAAAGATTTTTTTTCTTTTAAATATATATTATTGATTTCAGAGAGGAAGGGAGAGGGAGAGAGAGATAGAAACATCAATGAGAATTGATTGGCTGCCTTCTGCACACCCCCTACTGGGGATCAAGCCCGCAACCCAGGCATGTGCCCTTGGTCAGAATCGAACCTCGGACACTTCAGTCCACAGGTGGACGCTCTATCCACTGATCCAAATTGGCAAGGGCCAGCTCTTAAGGTTTTTGTTATTGACCTTGTGAAAGCCTTTGCTGAACTGTGACATCGGAGGCTTGAGTGGTTTTCAGTATGCTGATTTTTGTATTATTTGTGGAAAATATAGTCCTGTGTTATTGTCTCTTTCTTCTTTTTGTTTTTTTTTAGAAAAAGGAGTAGTATTTGGATCCCCACTTACAGAGGAAGGCATTGCTCAGATATACCAGCTAATTGAATATCTACACAAAAGTAAGACTACTTAAAATTTTGTTGTTCTTCGTTAATGAAGAATTGTCTGTTTTCTATTGAGAGCTGACACCCTTGAGTTAATAGGTGCCAATTAACCATCAACAAAGACACTAATCAGTGATAATTTCAGGTGGCATGTTTCTAAATATATTCTGTTGTAAATTTCACTTCATATATTGATTTGTTTTTTGTTTTCAAATATGTATATAAATTAGCTCGTGTCAATCACATCTTCCCCTTGACTCAGACTTTTTTTCTGGAAAAATACATTGTCCCTAGAGAATCATAACATTTACTCAAGGGAGAATGACTTATCACCAAAGATACTTTTATCTTTAGAATTATATAATTAAAATACATTCTTTACTTAATTCCCATTTTCTTTTTTAGTAGTCACGCTGGTTATGTCATTCCTCTAAGTGCTTGGCACAGCTGAGTGTATGTGAAGTGTGTGGCATTTTATGACCCTTTGATAAATTCAACGCAAACACTGTGCTAGGAGCTAGAGCAGAGGTTAGGCAGCCTAAGGGCTACATTCATGTTTTGTTTTTAGTTGGCAAAGGATTAAATTAAAAATACAATTAGTTATCAGTGTTTTAAAATGGGGAAAGTCTAGGTTTTCAATTTCCTGGGATGATAGGAAGGTCTAGCAGCCTTGGGTCCTGTTGCCACTTTGACACAATTGGCTAGAGCAGTGGTTCTCAACCTTCCTAATGCCGCGACCCTTTAATGCCGTTCCTCATGTTGTGACCCCCAACCATAAAATTATTTTCGTTGCTACTTCATAACTGTAATTTTGCTACTGTTATGAATCGTAATGTAAATATCTGATACGCAGGATGTATTTTCATTGTTGCAAATTGAACATAATTAAAGCATAGTGATTAATCACAAAAACAATATGTAATTATATATGTGTTTTCCGATGGTCTTAGGCGACCCCTGTGAAAGGGTCGTTCGACCCCCAAAGGGGTCACAACCCACAGGTTGAAAATCACTGGGCTAGAGCACAAGTATGTGCTCTCCAGTTCAATATGGTTTCTGTTCATTCATTTACTGTTGCCTGCCTGGCCCTGTCTTCTCAATTAGGGAGATATATGAAGATAAATATGTACCCAACCTGAAAACTTGAACTCTCAGGCTTCTTCCAATCAAACCAAAACTATACGTCCCATCTTTTTTTATCGGTTGAGATTAGTGTAGACCTAGTTGGGAGGGAAGTATAATTTAGTTGGGATGATGCGAAGGTTCCAGGAATCTTAGACTGGAACTCTGACAGATTAGAGTTCCAATTCCAGAGGCAACACAGAGACTTTAGATTCATTTTGGGCTGGGAAACTGTTTATAGGAGCAATAAACATCCACAGATGAACTTGGCCCCTTCAAACAAATTCTCAGATGGCAAAGGAAAGGGGCCTTCAGGGAGATTTGGCTTTTCTTCCAACTTGTTTTTTGAGCTCATTTCTATTGTTTAAGATTAAATTCAGTCTCTAGATGTGTCTCAAGACGTCCAATGACTGGACCACTTCTTAGTCCAGGAGATGTCCAGGTCTCAGGGATGCTCAGAACATATGTCTGCACAGGGGCTAGTGGATTCTAAACTACTCTGGGGAAAAAAAGGCAAAAACCTTCTTCAAGGTCTTCTGTAAAGAGCCTTTCAAGTGTAAAGTAGTCTTTTAGATGACTTATTTTAACCATACTTTCTCTTTTTGTTTCCTTTTTGTATGTCCTCTTATTTTCTTTCATACTAAACAGACTTACGAGTGGAAGGTTTGTTTAGAATACCAGGGAATAGTGTCCGACAGCAGATTTTAAGGGATGCTCTCAATAATGGAACTGATATTGATTTGGAATCAGGGGAGTTTCACTCAAATGACGTTGCCACCTTGCTGAAGATGTTTCTAGGAGAGTTACCTGAGCCCCTGCTGACACATAAACATTTCCATGCACACCTCAAAATTGCTGGTGAGTAAGAGGGGAGGAGATGTAAGTGTATTTCTTTCAATTTAGTAAAGTCCTTTGGAATTTTCTATTGTTTGTAATCCACAGCGATACTTCTAAATCAGTGGTCGGCAAACCGCGGCTCGTGAGCCACATGTGGCTCTTTGGCCCCTTGAGTGTGGCTCTTCCACAAAATCCCATGTGCGGGCGCGCACATACAGTGCGATTGAAACTTCATGGCCCATGCGCAGAAGTCAGTTTTTGGCCTGGGCGAGTCTATTTTGAAGAAGTGGCGTTAGAAGAAGTGGGGGTACGTTCGCTGAGGTTGACCCCTCAGATTGAGGACGTTTTTAGCAAAGGCCGGTTTAGAAGTACCCTAATTAAGTTAATAACAATGTACCTATCTGTATAGTTTAAGTTTAAAAAATTTGGCTCTCAAAAGAAATTTCAATCGTTGTGCTGTTGACATTTGGCTCTGTTGACTAATGAGTTTGCCGACCACTGTTCTAAACAAACAAACAAAAAAAGAAAGACAGGAAGGGAGGGAAAAACAAAACAATAAAGCCCCTACTTTTGTTAAAACTTCATGGTATTTTTGGACTTCTGGGCACTCATAAGTTTTGGCCAGCTAAGTTTAATTTAATCAAATGTGTGATGTTGTTTTTTTATAAATTAGTTTCTTTGAACATAAAATCTGGGTTTAATTTTTTTTTATTCCTCAGGGATCCTAGCATAGTGCTTTGAATATTTCAGTTGCTCAATAAATGTATGCTTGCCCTGGCTGGTGTGGCTCAGTTGCTTGGTTGCCTTCTCATGCACCAAAGGGTTGGGTGTGATTCTGGTCAGGGCACATGCCTGGGTTATGGACTCAGTCCCTGGTAGGGGGTGTTTGGGAGGCAGCCGGTGGATGTTTCCCTTTCACATTGGTGCTTTTTCTCTCTCTCCCTTTCCCTTCTTCTTTCTGAAATCAATAGAAACATCTTTAGAAAAACAAACAGTGAAAGCCTTTATAAATAAATAAATAAACACATGCTTTTTATTTGATTTAATTTACATTCCTGAGATGGTTATAGGTTTGGTACATTTGCCTTGGTTTGAGGCTTTAGCTAAGTATTATTATGCCTCAATTGAGATCATCTCTACTCTTAGAAATTTTTTTAAAAATTTTTCCCTAGGATTTTTTAAAAATTCAATTTATGGGGGTGACATTGGTTAATAAAATTATATAGGTTTCAGCTGTACAATTTTATAATACATCACCTGTATATTATATTGTGTATTCATGACCCCAAGTAAATTTGTTTTTTTAAAATAATTTTATTTGCTGCCTAAATACTAGTTAATACATTCACATTGTTCATATTCAAAGTGTTCAAAAGACTATACAGTGAAAAGACTCTATTCTACCCTTGTTCCCCAGCACCTGGTTTTTCTTTCCAGAGGCAACCAATGCTATGATTGCTAATTATCCTTCCAGAGATATTTTATACACTTACAAATACTTAGATAGGTTCCTTTTTTTATGTAATGGTGGGTATTACATTCATGGTTTTTTTTTTACTTACTATATCTTGGAGAATGTTCCATTTTCAGCTCATAAATAGTTTTCTCATTCTCCTTTATGCCTGAGTGGTAGGGAATTCATTCTTCAATTGCACATCTGTAATACTGCTATAATTTAATGCCCTTGAGCATTTTTCTTTTGCTTCTATTTTTTTTTAATCCTCACCTGATAATATATTTTTAATTGATTTTTAGAGAAAGAGAGAGAGAGAGAGAGAGAGAGAAAAAGAGAGAGAGAGAGAGAGAAACATTGATGTGATAGAGAAAAATTAGTGGCCTCTCATAGGCATCCCAACCAGGGATTGAACCTGCCACCTAGGTCTGTGCCCTAGTTGGGAATTGAACCCACAACCTTTTGGTGTATAGGATGACACTCTAATCAACTGAGCTACCTGGCCAGGGCTAATTTTTTTTTTTTGAATGCTTCATGAATTTGTGTATTATCCTTCTGTAGGGGCCATGCTAATATTCTCTATATCATTCCAATTTTAGTATATGTGCTGCCAAAGTGAGCACCCCTTGCTTCTAATTTTAAGAAAAATAAATAAAAGATTTTTTCTTTTGAATAATTTTTACTACTTAAAAGAAAACTAAGTTTAAATTTATAAAATCGAATAAGATTAGATTTTTTTACCTTTTAAAAATATTTTTATTGATTTCAGAGAGGAAGAGAGGAGAGAGAGAGAAACTTCAGTGATAAGTGAGAATCACTGATTGGCTTCCCCCAACCCCCCACCCCTCACTTACAACCTGGCATGCACCTTGATTGGGAATCAAACTGTGACCTCCTGGTTCATAGGTTGACACCCAACCACTGAGCCACACTGGTGGGGCAAAATTAGATTAAAAAAAAGATTTTTATTGATTTTTAGAGAGAGAAGGAAGGAGAGAGAGAAACATCGATGTGAGAGCAAAACATTGATCTGCTATATCCTACATGGCCCCCTACCCAGGATCAAGCCTGAAACCCGGGCATGTTCCCTGACCAGGAATCAAACCAGCAACCTTTCGGTGCAATGGGAGGATGCCCAACCAACTGAGCCATACCAGTCAGGGCAGATTAGATTTTTTTTAGCACTATCAGTAATAACCTAGATGATACAAATGAGAAAATATTACTAGAGTATTATATAACTTTACAATTACTTTGGAGAGAAAATTGTTTGATTTTTGAAAAAGATATGGAAAATATTCATAAGTTTTTTTTATAAGGGTAACATGAAGAATTTTTTTTCTGTTTTCCCATTGAGTTAACTTAGTACAGTATTTAAAATCCTCCCCTTCACCACCCCATGATTCACTGTTCGCTGAGGTCATATTGAGGTATGGCACAGTTGTTGCATTTGCTCTGCCTTGCTCATAAGTGGAAGGGATTTTTGTTTTCAACTTCATATTAACAGGGAATAGTTTCTAGAAATATTATCTTTGTTTTCTAAACCTGGAGTTATTGCAGTTCAACAGCTTAACCAACACATTGTAATCATTTTCAGGTCTATATGAATTATATGCAAATAGTTATCTGTGTCTTTTGAAATTCCCATTACCCAGGGTTTTTATTGATAACCTGTGTAGTCTCTTAGGGGAGAAACAATCATTCTGACTCCATGAGGACCTGCCTGGATTATCCTGTTATCAGAGCATAATTCATTCTCATATTTCTTTTAGCAATAAAATATCTGAGTGAGGAAAAGTGAAGGGGGTGGAATTATTAAAGGTATATGTGGACATATATTTATTTCTCTTGGGTGTACACCTAAGAGTGGAATCACTGGGCCATATGGTAACTCTATGTTTAACTTTTTGAGGAACTGCCTCACTATTTTCCAAAGTGGTTGTACCATTTTACATTCTCATCAGCAATGTAAGAAGGTTTAATTTTCTAAGCATTCTTGTTAACACTTGTTATTGTCGGTCCTTTTTATTATAGCCATACTAGTGGGTATGAAGTAATATCTCATTATGGTTTTGATTTACATTTCCCTGATAGCTAATGATACCAAGTGCACAAATGCTTACTAGCCATTTATAAATCTTCTCTGGAGGAATATTTATTCAAGTCTTTTGCCCATTTTTGATTGGGTTTTTCTTTTTATTATTCAGTTGTATTGACATTATTTTATTATATTTTGCTATAATCTCTGGTTATGCCTAATTCTTTTTTCTTCTTCTTTCTTCGATTAGAGTTAAGGGGAGGATAATAGTAGGAACATTTTTTCCCTCTTGCTTGTATTTCGTCCCTACTTGCAATCATCTCTTTTGTCCTCAAGATTTGATGCAGTTTGATGATAAAGGAAACAAGACCGATAGACCAGATAAGGAGCGGCAAATTGAAGCTCTCCAGTTGCTCTTCCTCATCCTCCCTCCACCCAATCGTAACTTGCTGAAGTTACTGCTCGATCTCCTGTACCAGACAGCAAAGAAACAAGACAAGAATAAGATGTCTGCCTATAACCTTGCCCTTATGTTTGCACCCCATGTCATGTGGCCAAAAAATGTGAGTGTCGAGGGGAAGAGCAAAGACTGCTCGGTATTCTTGGGCTGGGCCTTATTCTGTGACTGTACCTTAGTGAGGTTATCAAGGGTCCAAGGTCTAGCCTTCTGTTTAACAATTTTAGGAGCTTGCTTTATTAGTTCATTTAAGAGTCATCAGACCTGCCCTGGCTGGTTTGGCTCAGTGGATAGACTGAAGGGTCCCAGGTTCGATTCTGGTTGGGGCATGTACCTTGGTGACAAGGCTTAATCCAGCCACGGTTGGGGCCACAGGGGCAACCAATGGTTCTCTTTCTCTGTCTCTCCCCCTCCCTTCCACTCTTTGTAAAAATAAATGGAAAAATATCCTCGGATGAGGATTAATAACAACAAAAAAAGAGTCATCAGACCTGAGGGGGCTAATTTCTGTTAACCTCACTTATAAATCAATCTCTGATAAATCTGAATGGCAATTTATTAGTGGGAACTCAATGGGATTATAGCTACTAAATAAACAAGAATACTCATTTTGGTGGGTCAATCTGAATTCCTTCTTAACGGGAAAGCCATCTTGGGAAACCACATTGATTCCTGAAGATTACATGGTATAAATTTAGAATAGAGTTGTTTGATCTTACAGGATGTCACTAAGCTTTTAGATAAGATGACACATAGAACAATCCTGCCTTATCCTAACTTTTCTATTTCCTGTAGATATTCTCTCCTTGGATAAAGCTGAATACGTGCTTCTTATTACTGAGAACATGGCTTTCTCAGTGACTTGTATCAGAAATAAATTATCAAAAGTCTTTTGAACTCATTCTTGACCTGGAGATACATAGGTCCATATTCCTGTCCATTCATATAAATTTTATTGTATGATGGAATTGGGAGGCAGGATACCTGGGTTGGAAGCTATAAACCAGCTGTGACCTGTATCCCTTTTTTTAAAAAATCCTCATCCAAGGATATTTTTCCCATTGATATTTATTTATTTATTTAAAAATATATTTTTATTGATATTTTACAGCGAGCAAGGGAGAGGGATAGAGAGTTAGAAACATCGAAGAGAGAGAAACACCGATCAACTTCCTCCTGCACACCCCTTACTGGGGATGTGCCCGCAACCAAGGTACATGCCCTTGACTGGAATCGAACCTGGGACCCTTCAGTCTGCAGGCCAATGCTCTACCACTGACCAAACCCGACCAGGGCGTGGCCTGTATTCTTTATGTTTTCTATGCTTAGGCTCCTCTTTTGTAAACTGGTCATAATAGTATCTTTCCCAATTATCTGACAAGGCAGATGGATATGGTGACTTATAAAATATTTTGGGGATATAAGAAATGGGAAAAGAAAGATTAAGGAGAGGTTATGTGGTACATTTCACCTAACAGGTAACTAGTGAAAAAAATAATATAAAGTTCCAGGCCTGGAAGGGCCTTTCCTCGAAGAAAGGTTGGTGGGGGGTGGGGATGAGGGTGGAAGGATGGTTGGGTGATGAGAAGAAAAGGACACACCAACATTTGTCCATATTAAGGATTTTAGAACCAGCTGAGACTGTGGAGAAGGAGTAATCTGTGCTTATAAAGAGATTTAAGAGGTCTTGCTAAAAGCAAAAATGAATAAAGATATATGTTGAAGATGAGGGCTTTGGGATAGTAGAGATGCTGAAGTGCTTAAAAGAGGCAGGAGAGCCTGGCTGGTGTGGCTCAGTGGTTGAGTGTCGACCCATTGTCCAGGAGATCACAGTTTGATTCCTGGTCAGGACACATGCCCAGGTTGCAGGCTCGATCCCTAGTAGAGATTGTGTAGGAGGCAGCCGATCGATGATTCTCTCTCATCATTGACGTTTCTGTTTCTCCCTTCCTCTCTCTGAAATCGATAAAAACATTAAAAAAAAAAAGCAATAGAAACAAGAGAAGAGAATCAATGACAGTTTGTATTTTTAAGAAACAGATGTCACGTTGGTATCAATTAGTAGTGACAGTTCTCTTTTGTCTCTGGAGAAGCTCCTTTCTCGGAAGGGGCAATGGTGGTTGGTACAGATTCTGTTCTTCCTGACCCTTCTCCCAGACTAGATCTTCTCTAGCAACTCTGCTTGCATGTCTCATTTTCAAGCAGAATTAGGAAATGAAAATTGGTTCCAAAGGATTTCTTGGTCACTTTAGGGTCACGTGGTTCTTCCTAGATTATGTCATTCCAGTGGAAATCTGC